GCTAAACGGCTGTTGTTTTAAATGGACCATATAAGTAACAGGGATTCTACTGTAGCTCATAATATGAAAGTCTATTTGTTCCATGTGTTTAGAAGTACTTGAATGAGAAATGATCATCTCATAATGCACAAATGTTGACAGCTGAAAGTGCGAATGCTGAGATTTAAAATCTGCGGTAAACGTGTCTAATTGTTTTGTTTCCTCTGTCGATACGATCGGTAATTCTGATCCTTTTCAGAGGCGCTGCGGCCGAACTCCATTTTGTTATCTTCAGGTGTCTTATGAGCCTCTACGCAACTATTTTGGACCCACCCCACAGCCATTCATAGATTTCAAAAACCAATTCTCCACTTTGAAACAACAGGGGAGAGCAGATAATTACCTAAGTGCAGATTCTGGACTAACCGTCTGCAGCTTGAGGGTACTCAGGCCACAGACGCACAGCCCCCTCTCTAGTGTCTCCCGATGCCCCTTGTTCCCCGAGTGGAAGTTAGAAGGTCCATGAAGCAATCTAGTCTGATTTGTTAAGCCTGTACTTTGCAGGCTGTTGCATATGCCGGCTAAACACTCGGGGCACTAACTCCAAGCAGCATAAGTCCTTCCTCTAGAGCCAGCATGGAGAAGCGGTTAATTTAGAAGCAGTCTGCCAGAGCGGCCTGGCCAGCAGCCAGAGGGCACTATGCTCACTGTCCTTGAGAAGTCAGCCCCACTGGGTTTCTATTTAACATATTGAAAAGCGCTTTGACGGGAAGATATATTAAAAGTCTATAATGAGTTAGGCGGTGACGTTGAGGATGGCCATGGTGTTGTAGCTCTGGGTTAAATCAGACAAAGATGGACGGACTCAGCCATCAGACAATTACAAAGAATTTGCTTTGTGACACCAGGAACCATTTTTCCATACTCCCAACCCTCTAGTTATGACAGCTCTCTTTCTTGCAATGTCTCAAGGGGTTGGAACGGAACATTATGATTGATTCATACTGCTGTTGTATTTTTCTTGCAGGAAAAAAAAAAAAAAAAAAAAACAGGGGCGGAGCCTTGTCGCCCCCTTCAACCTGATTGGCCTCTTGCATATTTAGGGCAGTGCAGCTTTCTGCCAGGAAAACATCAGGCAACCTTCCCACTCAGCATTGTTTCAGGAGGAAATAATTTGCTCACCTTTGGCTCACTGTGCTCAAAATCACCTTCAGCGCTTTGACTTTTATCTGTGTCTGTCTCTTTTAAATGTCATCTTCAGGAAACTTAAATTCAGTTATTTTTTTTCCTCAGCCTCTGAATCTTAAATTTTAAGATCAGTCTAAAAAATATTAGCACTTGACAAATTATTACTCTTGCCATACAGAATTTCTGCCAAAAAAGAAGGAGAAATAGTCTCTCTGTGCAATGTTTAAAGTCTCTATACTCTCTCCCTAAATGCAAAGTAAAGCGATTTGATACAAGTCGAGCATTAGCTGCTTCATTTCAGCTTCCAGTTCATACATAATAAACTTTGTGTCTTGAACCTAAACCACAATCTTTCTCATGTCAGAACATAATGAAGAGGGCTGGCAGCAAGACTGCACATGGGCTTAGGAACAATATAACTAAAGGGGCCAGAGCCTCACTTTAAATCATTTAAACATCGATTTTGTGCTCAGCTCTTGCTTGTTAATCTTTTCGTAATGAAAAACTGCAAATGAAGACTTTAGAACAGCCAATAAAACATGGTCAGTGATCACTAATGCATTTTAATAGGCACATTCTGACGTTTGTTTTAGTTCTTTAAAATGTAAGCCCATCTGCCCATTCGTAATAAAATCTAAATTCTCAGTCTAGTGATTCCTGCCAATTATATATCTTCCCCCAGTATTACTTGGGGCCCTTCTCTCCAAAAAAATAAAAAATATGGCACACTTGGAATGAGTGGATAACTTGGGATCAGGCTAATACCAGCTGAGGTGCTAACAGTATTTGAACAAAATTTGTATATTGCTAAGATCTGAACAGTTTATCACTGTGAATGTGCATCTTCTCTCAATAGAAAATGTATTCTTGCCTGAAGCAGATACATATTACACTGCATCCGGTTTGATGTCTTTGTAAATACACTCCATAAATGAAAAGCTGTAAAATGAAACCGTAATTTATTCACATTTGGTAATAACATTTTCTCCTGCAGCAGAACAAGCTGAATAGGAACTGACCACAACACAGATCTGAACATTCATAGCCAGATTCACAAGGTTAAATTAGTTTAAAAAAAAAAGAACATACCTGATATTTACAAGGTAAACTGCATCGTCATCAACACGGATTAATGCGCTCATCCTCGTAACGTCTTCCTCTTCATTACAGCAAAAGGCATACTGAAACATTTGGGAGGGAGTTTAAAGACATGCTTTGTGCTTTTTTTCATGTTACTGCTCTATTAACTTTACAAATTGGCTGAAATAGCAGACTTTCAAGGGCAAAAAAAGAAGTGCACTGGCTACCTGCAAGACTCCATCCTGGATGAAGAGTTTCATGAAAAAGAAATCACCGTTAGCAGGTCCTTGGTCCACGTAAAGTAAAGTTCCCTGGGCCGCCGTGGTTTGAAATCTCACAGTGATGTTGTTAAGCGCACCGAGGTCAATACCTCGAAACTCCAAGTACGAATTCCCAAAGTAATGAAGGTAGCTCGAATCTGGGGAGAAAGAAAAAAAAAACACAGAAAGCTAAAACGGGGTAAAGGGTAAACAAAAGTGAGACAGACCACAGTTTATGCATCTTCTCTGTAAATCCCGCTGAGATTCTCCATTGATCCCTGAAAGAAGAATTCAACTTTTCAATTGCTTCCTCTACAGGGAGGTCAGTGCATGGGGCGGGATACAGAACAGCACCCTCAGAATTATTACAGATTCAGAGTGTGGCTAAGGACACCTCAGCAGGGCAGATGGTGGTTGCCAAGGAGACTTGAATGTGGACATCCTGGATTTTGTTACTCCGCAGTTGCACACAAAGTGTATGTCGCTGCATAAACTGAAAATGCGATCGATCGAACAACCTCGGGAACATAGACGGAATACAGCTTAAACAGACGAGTGTGGAGCGCAATGAGATTGAGTGTGGAATATAGTGGCAAAAAGTGAATAATCATTATTTTGAGAGTAGGGGGAAAAAAAGGAGGCTTTTGGTAACATCACAGTTTTTCCTTTTGCTCACTGTACAGGCATACTGTAAATAGTCTTATTTGCCAAAAAGCTGTGAAGCATGCAAATGGTACTATATTAGGCGAGAGAGGAGTCTTGGCTGAAATGAATATATTCATACAAGTTTATTACATGCCTCATTTTATAGTGGAATAACTTGGCTTATATCATCCATGAGAATGGGCAATTATGGGGTATTTCAGTAAAAGTTCCACTGCCCGCAAGCTTATTGGGGGTAGTGACGCAGACAAACTTAAAAGACTGACTCAGACTGCAATTGGAGGCGAGCATTAGGGGTGCTCATGCTCAATATATTTCTCATTTGAACCAAGTAGTGCAATTTGTTGCAGTAAAGTCAAACCGGAGAGCCTGTTAAAATGAAAGGCATTCCTGGATGCACCTGTCTCATGCTCTGTCCGCTCTTATCTTAGAAAAAATCATTACACCAGAGAGATCCGCAACGCTCCTTTAAAGTTGTTGCTCTGATTAATCGCGCGGCTGCGAGTTAGACCTTTATCAATATTTGTTAGACGTCAAGTCCTAATAGGCCAGACCCCTTTTGATCTGACAGCGAGCCCCTCAGGGCATTTGGCAAACAAGCTAACCTAAATACCCCCATTTTCTCTGGAGGGCAATATGACCAATACCCGGAGGAAAATCCCCATGATAACAGAAAGTGAGAATTATCAGGAGCAGACCTACTGTGATCCGTGAATTAATGAGGATAAATGCGCGCTGCAACAATGCTGCGCTGTCTACTGCTTCACTCCTGACAATGGAGTTTGCCAATGCTGATGATGGAAAATTACCCCTCAGAGACAAAGCTATTCATTAATTTTAAAGCCTTGTTTAGTCTGATGTAGTCTTTGATGCAGAGTGAGGCTGCTGCCAGGAGGCAGTATCATGCCTCATTAGCAGTTAGCTTCAGTCTCTCCTTCAAAGGTCTCCTGTTTTTACCACTACCTTACGTTCTCACACCAGATTTTTCATGCACACACCCCGAGTAACCAGTCGTAGTAGATCTAAATTGTAAATGTATACAATATAAACTGTACCTTACACTTTTTGTTCACATTTTAATATACTGCTACACACCGTATCTATTTTTTTGAAACTCTTAAAATACTGCTGACCAAGGACTTTGTCACTACTTTGTACTTTCAATAGAAGAAGAAGAAGAAGAAAAAAAAACTCATCTCACTGGGAATATTCCTTGATATAAATCTTTCAGATCAGATTTAATTAGGGCCAGTCCTAATACATGACCATAAAAGAGGTGAGAAAATGGATATGAGTCATATTTAATGTAACGCAGAAAGGTGGAGCGCAATGTTGCAGCAGCGACCGTAGGCGGATGTCAGACAGGTTAAAGCGCGAGACATTCCGCTAGAAAAATATATTTAGAGAAATGTGAACTTTAAGATCAATTAATATGAGGATAGACTTTGGATGGTGAGATTTAATTGATATAGACTTAATGTCCCATTTATTTAAAAAAGCCAGGATGTAAGTCCTGTTTTGTCCCTGATTTATTGGGTAAGGTAATAGACTGACTGATTGAACTTGTCACAGGATAGAGATAAAATACTGCTGAGGACCATTCTTGGACCTTCGCAATTTCAGAGCCCTGGGGGAAGGCAAAAGGTCATTCTGTACTTACAGAATTGGCAGAAAAAATATCTTCTATTCAAGATATGCAGCGTGAGGAGATTCGGTTGAGTATTTTTATACCACTGAGATTGTAAATATAATAGGATTTTTTCCCCCAGATCTAGTGTTTAATTATCACTCTGTTTTCTGGTTTTAAAAATAACTGCTAGATTTACTCCAGTGCACCTCACTGACAGTTACTGTACAAGAGCACAGAGGCCATAAACTGTAGCCGAAGTGACAAATTTAAACACTGCTTTTCTCATGTCGCCGAGCCTTTTTTTTCCTTTTGCATGAATATTCATATATCTGCATATCTTGTGAATGTCATTATGACTCACTAGCACAGTTGTGCCACTGAATATATCAGAACATTCAACTTATCAGGTGCTATCGTCTCAATTACAAACAAACTGTGCTCGAGAGAAGAAGGAAAAAAAAAGAAAAACACAAAGAAAACATAAACTGCTGCCAAACAGAACACGCATGTTAAAATGAAGGTTAGCAAAGGTGACTGCCCCGAGACAGGTACGGCACGTTTGAAAATGACTTACGTCTTGCTCATCAAGCTGATTTTGAGGGGGCTTAGGTAATTTCATTTCTGCTGCACATGGCAGAAAAAGATAACAGCTTCACCTGCGCTGTGGCGATCACTCCGAGGAAAGTCAACCAAATCATGGCTTAGCTGCAGTAAGCCTTCCACCACCAGCAATGTCCCTTCTAGATTCTCATCAGCTCTCATGTTGTAGAGCCGAAGTAAAATACTGTGGAGCTCAATATTGTCTGTACAGTGACAGAAAAACAGAACACAGAAGACACTCCATAAGATTTGTTTTTATTAGTTTACTTCTAAGCTGAACTGAATTTATTTTTTGCTTCACTATTTTAAACACACACACAAAATTCACGTGTTCTTTAGCTGTCCAGAAATGGAACCGTCTACTGTCAGTGCACCTATATTAACTATCTCCTCTATGTTTAAATTCCCATTGACTAGATACATTTCAAAGGTTGTGGAGCAGTCTTAGGTTTACAGGAGCACTGTCTGAGTCTATTTCAAGCAGCACCAAGGGCACTGCATGTGTTTAGATGGTGACCTAGTTTGATAAACTCATGAGTTTCTGGGTCCTCTCGCTTTAAAACTTATTTACTTTGATTATGCACTTATGTGTAAAGAAGTAAAGAGATGTTTTGGTCTGGAGATGCTCGGGTTTGTGTTTTTTTTTTTTTTTTCCTTCTTCACCACCAGTGTGTACTTTTAACCCTTTCTCATGTAGCGCGCCAGCGGATGAGGGTTGCATCAGGTGCAGCGGGGAGGACTCCATTATGTTCGGCCCACAGTGATTTTCAGAGTGTCGCACTGAATTGGTTCAAGCTCGTCTGTGTTCAATAGGTCTGTTTTACAGTCCCGTGAACAGTTTCAAAGGTAGACAGACCTCATCTGTCAAAGAGTAACAATCTGCCCGGCGTTCCGAATTCCTCCCCTCACATAGATGACTGAGTCCAATACCAATAATGTATAACATATTGTGTTCTGTGTCTATCATTTCAGCGTTAAAGGATACAGCCACAAATAATGACTGGACTGATTACTCTTTGAAGTCACTGTTTCCAAATAAAAATAGAAAATGCACTTTAGTGGCAAGTACAAAACTAGATTTTAACACTTCTTTTTTTTTCTTACAACAGCTGCACAAACTATGACGATCTCTGAATAAAACCTAATATATCATCGCCTGCTATGTTCCGAAGGCTCTGAAATCACATTTGGAGTGCCAGCTCAGTGGGAGTCTCCTCTCATTCTAAACTGGCAGAGCTTGTGCAGCAAAAACCTGTTTGGTGGGAGGACAAGAAAAGTATGGGTTTGTAATTTATCAACATAAAAAAAAAAAAAAAAACAACTCTTGGATTGCCATCAAATTAATCGCTGTAATGACTAATCAGTTTAAATAATTTTGTGTCACATATTGCTAACAGAAGTTATTGCTAAGTAATGGGAGCCACGGCCTGATTGAGAAGTGTTAATTTAAGATGATACACCGCCACATTGAAGCTCATTTATCATTTCATTGAGGCTGTAGGCTTGTTTTAATGAATATAATCTATATTTATATTGATCCAAAGTGGAAAAACTACATGAAAAAGCTTTTAGTACAAGAAGTTAGGAAATTAAAAAACTAACTCGATCTGAAGCAAAAGTAAAACCTGTCAAATGTATGCAGTCTTTGAAGTTGTTCATGTGTCTTTTGCAATCCACTAAGCTGCATTTGGAGATCATAATGATACTGATGCATCTGTGTATCAAGAAGTTTTATACAGAAGTGCTGCGAAGTATCAATGCAACAATGTAAAAAAAAATAAAAATCTAGTACAAATAAAAGTACTGAAATTTCTGGACTACAAGCCGCTACTTTTTTCACACGCTTTGAACACTGCGGCTAATGATGTGGCTAATTTATTAGACTGAGGAAGTGTGTGATGAAGTAATTCTGAAGCTGTTCAATTCTGACGCTGAAGAAGACGACCTTAGTAGTTTTAGTGCGCAGGAGGAAGATGAAGATAGCGATCAATGACTTTTCCTGGTAGGCTACTGTGTTATTTTATTGTTTTAACCAGCGCTGTTACAGGCACTGTTCGGAAAAATCATTGATTGTACGTATTTGTGTATGTTTCCAGTACGTATTTAATTAAGAGTTTAAAAAATCTTTCTGTGTAACATTTTTGTGTGTGTAAATATCTCATGTTGCAACATGGACACCTGCGGTTTATAGACAAGTGCAGCCGATATATGTACACATTCTTCTTTTTTCTTTTTAAAGTTAGTGGGTGCGGCTAATATTCAGCTGCGCTCAAAAGTCCGACATCATCCATCCATCCATTATCTATACACCGCTTAATCCTCACTAGGGTCACGGGGGGTTTGAGTCTATCCCAGCTGACTCAGGGTGAAGGCAGGGGACACCCTGGACAGGTCACCAGTCTATCACAGGGCTACACTTAGAGACAGACAACCAAGCACACTCACATTCACACCTACGGACAATTTAGAATCACCAATTAACCTCAACATGCTTTTAGACTGTGTGGGAGGATGCTGGAGAACCCGGAGAGAACCCACGCTGCACGGGGAGAACATGCAAACTCCACGCAAAGATCCCGGTGCGCCCCACTGGGACGCGAACTGGCGACCTTCTTGCTGCCAGGCAACAGTGCTAACCAACTGCACCACCGTGCAGCCCCACATTTAAATCAACAAAAACTTATTTTTCCCATAAATAAATAGTTTTTATTAAATATTACATAATTTTGTCTCTGGGCAACAACCAGTGAGTTACATGACACCATAGGGAAGGAAAAAGTTTCATAGACATCTAAAATGTGACAAAGGGCTCCTGCCAACCAAAAACAATCTGGAATGTAGCAAGTAAATACGGCTGCCAATAAATGTAGTGAAGCGAATAACATTTCTCTCTGCAAATCAAAAAAAAAAAAAAGTGTAGCATAGCAGCGAAAAAAATCTACTTCCAACTACTCGGCGACTTTCCACCACCACATGTACTCGCGAGCGCGCACAGTGCGGACCGTACCTGTGGATCGCCCAGCTGTTGGTGCTGGGCTGAGAGTTGGCGTCGGCACTCTGGGTGTGGAGCCGCGAGTGATGTTCTTGACTGTGGTCGCCAAGGGAACAGAATCCGTAACAGGAGGGAGGCAGCTGACCTTGTTGATGCCATCTACACAGGAAAATGCTTCTGGACATGGATTCAGCAGGCAATCATCATAGTTGTGCTCACAGTTCCTCCCCTGTGTACGTGAAATAGATAGCCTTGAGATGTGTCGTGCCACTCCACATTGAGATGCTAAACGGAGTTTAATGTTTGCAGCTCGGAAAATAAAGCACACTGGCATTATGTAACAAAAACAAGGATTTTTTAAAACTAAAAACATGTGATGCAAGATATTATGTGAGCTTATTGTTGTTGTGATGATTATTATTATTATTATTATTGATAATTCTGATTAACATTTGGGGTTGTTCACATAATGTAATAACAAACAGACAATGTGACTTTTTCTATGAGAATCCTGCTATAACAAAGAGAATAAGACATGATTAGACCACAAGCAACAATGAAAAAGGTGATGACACGTCTTAACAATTCAGCTAATTAGTGCCACAGAAGTATCAAGGGTACAAGAGGATAAAGGTTAGACAGAAAAAACAAAACAAAAAAAAAAAGAGATGGATAAGGGGAATAAGGTGGGGGAGCCTCACCACAAATCCAGGACGACAGAAACAGGTGTAGCCGTAGCCTGGATCATTCTGAATGCATATCCCCTGGTTGCAGGGCTGTGGAAGGCACTCATTAATGTCATCCTCACAGTGAAGGCCTGTCCAACCTGCCAGGAACAAAAGCCCACAGAGTGCCATGGTGAGCCCAGGCTCTCCCACTTCCACCCTCTGAAGTGAATATCAATCAGATTCTCTTACATTGATTTGCTTCTTTTTGGGTTCACACACATACACAGACAAGAAAAGGCTTTCACTAAAGAGTAAGATGCCACATACATTTTAATGAGCCGAGGCAGTATCGTCTTTTTATCACTGTCTTTTTTAGTACTGTATGACTACAAATTTCTCCCTGGAGAAAAGCAAAAGAACTTTGAATGGCTTTGAGGCGCAGACACCGTGTAGGCATTATGGTAACCTTTAGTGACACTTTATGTGGCCCCCTTTCAATCCAATACAAGATGTTCTGGAAGCGTTAAGATGGTTTACATATGGTAAACTGTACTCCACCACATCTGGAGATGTGGAGAGCTGCAGAAATTGTCTTGACATCTCGGCTGTGTTTTAGTAATCTCGCTCATGAGCCGCGAAGGTTGCCTGTAAGAGCTCCGGTTGCCTCATTTCAAAGTAAATTGAGAAACTCGCAGGATATCTGAGTGACTCACCTGACCTGCAGTGGCAGACGTAGCTATTAATAAGATCTTGGCAAACGGCACCGTTGTGGCAGGGAGCTGAGCAACATTCGTTAACATCCACTTCACAGAAATCCCCCATGAAACCTGGTGGACAGCTAAGAAAACATATCATACTTTAGAAACTGCGAGGCTGTCTCACAGTGCTGCCACTTCCTTCTTGTGGGTTTGACATGTTGTATTCGAGAACTGCCTCTTTTCGTTATTACTTATCAAAAAGTACTGCAACTTTTGCTTTTTTCTTTACAGTTGTTGCTTCTCTTTTCAAATTTTACTCATTTGCAACAGACTAATCAAAATTAGACATATGTATGAATATATTTTTTAAAGATGTAGCAAAGAAATGATTAAAGGAGGTGATAAAGTAAAGAGGGCTTCAATCATAGGATAAAATGTATAATACAACAAAAACAGAACCAAAAAAAAAAACATTAAACACTGCTAGCATTTTCTCAAAAGAAAATATGAGGTGTCATTGCTAAAAATGTGAATGTATCATGTTAAGAATACAATTCTATTCATCATATATTGTAAATATAAGCTGTGCCCTCAGTAGATGCATCATTCCTGCAGAAAAAACGAGGCTTTTAGAGAAAACAAACACTTTCTTTAGGTTTTTGTCAACACAAGCACTGCTCTGAAACTAAGGGCGCCGTTTGTTTGTCCACAGTTAGACTAAATCAATATCACCCTTCATGTGCTAATGCACTAACTTGCTGATTAATTTCTCTTACAAAAATTTGGTTTTCCAAGGAACACACAAAAAAAATCTCACAACTGAAAGCTCAAATTAGGTTTACAGAGCAAAAAAAGTTGACATTACAGACCTTATTTCAGAGAAAGATTCAGCAATGCATAAAACTCACTGTACACAAAGTGAAAACGTTTTAGATAATTGTTGGAGTGGGTGATTGGAACAGGATAAGCCACATCTCCAGCAAATAGAGGTGCCACTCAGTTCAGCACACGTCTTGCCCGCTGTGGCTTTTAGATTTGTAGAAGAGCAGTAATTTTCCAGACGGACAGTGAGCCTGATCATGCATCAAAGCTACCTGAGGCCAAGGAAGCTCAAGGTCTGCTGACTTGCACGGATTCCCAATTCACAGTCACCACACCTCAAACCCACTGAACATCTTTGGGAACAGTTTACAGCAGAAAAAAAAGGTGACACATGCTGAAGAAAAAAAGTGTGGCTTCTCCAAAAGAGAAACTGAATAGATTCTCGCTTTCAGTGAAAACTCTTGCTGGGTTCACGAAGCTTCTTTCCCTCTTTTGGACATTTGAATTCTGTTGTAAATCGAGATATGTGGGGCTCAGTGGATTTAATTATGCAGCACTGCAACATCAGAACATGTGCAAAGAGTTTCATGCATGACCTCTTGGCTGACCACCATCACGGTGAGAATGGAGTGTTTTTGAGGCCATTTCCTGAACAATTGATGTGTACCACTCGTGCCACTTCACACATAACATTGAGATAAAACAACACTGCGTCGCACAGGAACTATTGCATGACCAATTTTATATTTCGGCTCATTATTCAGTGTACTAGTCTGACCAGGCCAACTCCATTTGAGCGGAAAAAATATGCGGAGGCACACATGCCTGCCTCTCAGAAAAATCTTTTAATGTGATTTTAAAGTCACAGCCTGGGATGTAAATGTAAACAAGAGGTTAGCCTCCTCCACCAAAAACACGAGCGTAGAACCTGCTGTCACTCTGAAAACTGACCAACAAATCTGTTGACACTAAAAAACTGGAGCT